ATTTCAACCATCATATTAATGTTACAGTCAATAAAGCCAAAGGCGTTTTTGCATTTGTAAGGCGATGGTCAAAAGAGTTCAAAGATCCTTATGTTACAAAAGCTCTTTTTACCAGTTTAGTTAGACCTATACTAGAATACGGATCTATTGTTTGGAATCCCCGCTACCAAGTTCATTCAGAAAGGATTGAATCAATTCAAAAACAATTCTTGCTTTTTGCATTGCGTAATTTTAACTGGGATTCAGATTACAATCTCCCCCCTTACACAAGTCGTCTAAAGCTCATAAATTTGCCTACACTCGCAAGTCGTAGAAAAATGCTGGGTATAATATTTATCGTAAAATTAATGACAGGCTTGATTAATAGCCCGGCCCTCCTGGCTGAGGTAACTTTTAATGTGCCCTCTCGAATGTCAAGACACTTTCGACCTCTGTTTTTGAAGCCATGCAAAACTAATTTTGAACTAAACGAATCATTCCGTGGTTTCTGTCAAGATTTTAACTCTCATTCCAGCACCTTTGACATATCGGACTCGATTTGTGCTATAAAGCAAACTATCATTTCCACTCTCAATAACTGAAATACCATCTTTAGCATATCCAATCAGCTGATGAATTTGATTCTGTAGCTGAAAAGTTTTAGATCTCGACACTTAANGCTCTCATTCCAGCACGTTTGATATATCGGACTAGATTTTTACTATAAAGAAAACTATCATTTTCACTCTCAATAATTGAAATACTATCTTTAGCATATCCAATCAGCTGATGAATTTGATTCTGTAGCTGAATAGTTTTAGATCTCGACACTTAACAAACTCCTGTTTCCACTACTCGGCACCAAAAAACTAAAACAAAACACAAAAAGGTTCCGTACGTTATGCGGACTCCGCCCCTCGTGTCGGTTGGGCGGGAATTGATAATTAAAACATCTTGTTATTCGCTATGTTTTTCATATAAAAACTAGTGGCCACACGGGTACCCCAATTATGTGTTTGCGTAGGTGTCGACTATAGAAGCTTAGAGGTGCGGTACCACAAACCCGAGTTTCATAAATGACCACTCAAACGACGCAAAAATACCTTATTTTCCTAGATCCGAAGTATCAATGCTCAACATGTAGAGGTGCTTTAGCTACTGCAGTTCAAAATTGCTAGTGGACACACGGGTACCCGGTTATGCGTTCTAGGGTTAAGTCGGACGGATTTCGTAAAAAAGATGATGTCATGTCTCCGATTCGCTTCAAGATTTTGTTACTGTATGCAAAAACCCGATGTTTAACACCTTACCAAATATATCCCAACATAATGGCTGGTTTTCATTAGGTCAAAATCACTGCCATCAAAAACTGCCTTCATCTGACAGCTGTTCATTTGGTGTCAAACGCGTTTTCATTACTTCATAAAAACTGACCAAATGTCGATATAGCAGTTTTTTGGTGTCAGGTGATTGACATTCCATTTTCATTAATGATGTCAAACGTGAAGTGAAATTGTTTGACAGACGGTCAGGTGATAAAAGAAAAATTGTTAAAAAAAAGTACGAAAATAATTTATACGAGAAGTAATGCGCAAAAATAAACAAATTGCTATAGCTACTGCAGCGCTATGTGTAGTAAAAACACTAAGGACGTGGAAAAAGAAGAGAAACCAACAGAGGAAGCAAAAGCAATGGTGGATTCGGCCAGGTCTGAGAGATAGAGCCATCTGTGCTTTTTATGCTACACTGCGCTCTAAGCTGGTTCTGCAGGATCCAAAGTGGCTAAAAAACTTTTTGAGGATGAGTATGGAGGATTTTGATTTCCTTGTGGAGCGCCTTACCCCATATATATTCAAACATACCACAAGGTTCCGAGAAGCGATTTCGGTGGGCGAAAGATTGGCCGTAACTTTACGTTACTTGGCAACAGGCGATAGCTTCTCTAGCCTGATGACTGTTTTCCTAATCGGGAAAACCACCATCTGTGACATGTGGGGCTACTTTCGAAGCTTTAAAAGATGATTTTTTAAAGGTGAGTATTCATGTAATGTGACGAAGTGCAAAGTCTATTACTCATCAAGGTTCCTAGCACTCATGAAGAATGGTCAAAGGTTGCCGACCGTTTTGACCAGCGATGGCATTTCCCTAATTGCTGTGGGGCATTGGATGAAAAACATATAGCGATTCAGGCGCCTGCAAACTGCGGTTCAGAGTATTTTAATTACAAAAAATACAATAGTATTGTCCTGATGGCTCTGGTGGACGCCGACTACAAATTTTTGTTTGTAGAAGTTGGAGCATATGGTCGTAAATCCGATGGTGGTGTTTTTGCAAGGTAAAACTGATACAAAATATTGTACTTTAATCTTAACAAGAATACCTTATTTTAAAATATACAGATGCCCTCTTTCAACTGCTTTTGCCGATAATACAATTAATTTTCCGCCCCCAAGGCCACTTCCACATGAAAGTGCTGAAATGCCATTTGTCATCGTAGCTGACGACGCGTTTCCTTTAAAAACATACTTGCTGAAACCATTCAGTTATCGCGAGCAAGTTATGTCGTACAAAATTTTCAATTACAGACTATCCCGAGCAAGAAATGTAGTAGAAAATGTGTTCGGCAATGTGCATCGCGTTTCCGAATTCTCAGAAGGCCAATGGACGTAAAACCGGAACATGCAAAAGCTATTGTCCTCGCGATTTGTGTCTTACATAATTATCTTTTAACACGCAAATCAGTGTATATGCGAAGATCTGACGTCGACGACGATACAAACGGCGTTGCTGTGCGCGGTAATTGGCGAATGGAGCTGGGAGAAAACGGAATGCTTCCATCAATACGTCCCAGCAGCATTTTAGGTAGGCCAGCAGACAACGCAATAAATGTGCGTAAAAATTTTATAGAGTACTTCTTGACACCCCACGGTGAAGTTGCATGGCAATACAATAGGACGATACTGCATAACTCATTTTTGTAGTTTACCCACTTTATACATATGTACATACACTGGCAATCAAAGGTGAGTGCATGATGTTTTTTGTTTAATATTTACAATATTTTTGAAGTTAAAATTTTTTTGTTAACTTTTTATAAAAATACAAATAAGTCAAACTTTATACAGAATTCAGAAAAATTCAACAAATTTTCATCTAAATTTTTAAACTTTTTAATCTGAGTTTTTAGAAAATCTTTGGGTACTCAGATAGATCGGCTATGTAATTTTAGTTAAACAAGTGTAAGTTTTAAGCGGATAAAAAATCGCGTTGATTTTTAATGATTTTTTATTGCTGACGGTTTTTTGCACTTCTTACCATATAAAAAGGGAATTTCTTGTAGAATAAAATGCGCATTACCATTTGCAATAAAATTAATCAAAAATTAACGCTATATTTTATAAATTTCGCTTATTATAAGCATAAAACTGCATAGAACTACATATCCGACCTATCTGCGTACCCAAAGTTCTTCTAAAAATTCAGATTAAAAAGTAAAAAATTTAGATGAAAATTTGTTGAATTTTTCTAAGTTCTGTATAAAGATTGAAAGTTTGACTTATGTGGTTTTGATTAAAGCATGAACCATATTTTTATAAAAAGTTAGCAAAACAATTTTAACTTCAAAAGCATTGCAAATATTAAACAAAAAACATCATGCACTCACTTTAGATCGCCAGTGTACAACCGTACTTTAAATACATATGTATAACTATGCGAACATATCGAGGCCTAACCGCCAAAATAACGTAAGCGACATTTTTTTCAAAATTTTCTTTTTGATGCAGAAATATTCCTAGACTAGATGCATTTCTGCATCAAAAAGAAAATTTTGAAAAAAATGTCGCTTACGTTATTTTGGCGGTTAGGGCTCGATATATGAACAATATGTGACCAATCAATTACGACCAAACACAAAGTAATGTATGTATGTAACAAAATTGGGCAAGTCAAAACTTTTTTGGTAATTTCTTATAAGTCTAACCAATTCCATATTTATCGAAGTTTCAAGCATTATACAAGATTTGCAGATTTTTAAAATTTTCATTAAAATTATGAACAAAGTTTTTAACCTTAACGTTTAAAAAAATTATGGGTATGCAGTTTTATAGTTCACTAAATTTTATCATAACAAAGTGCTAGTTTGAAGACTCTAAAAATACACGTTGATTTTTAATAATTATTGTTTGTTAACGCGAAATTCGAGCGACTTAAATTGGCACTTTATTATATTAAAATTGAATAGCCTATAAAACAGTATACTCAAAATTATTGCTAAAAATTTCGTTTAAAAATATTTTCAGTTTTTATTCCGGTTTCTTTTAATTTGTTGAATTTTGACGATTTATATGCTTTATGTTATTGAATTCACTATAGCCTTAAAAAATTAAGCAATATTAAAAAAATCGGATAAACTTTAAAGTACAAACATCTGAATACCCTTTGTAATTTCTTGGCAGCATACTGTAAAAAAAAAACAGAAAAAATAAATAAATATAACAAAAAATAAGGCACATTTCATTTGGCTTGCTTATGACTACCATAAATACATATAGGCTGAATTTCTTTATTCATTCTGAACGTTTGGAATAAACTTTTTTGTTTACTTATTCTTTAGAACGTTCCTGATGATATGTTAACGTATATTTCAAACACATTCTGTTTATTCCGGCTGTGAAATGGGATTATCCGGAATGTATAAAGAAACGCAGCCATAATAAAAACAATGAAAGTGAACAGATAACGATCGATGAACGATGAAATCACAAAAAATACGGCATTATTGGCCTAAAAAATAAAATAAGAAATATCCGAATTAAGATTTTATCAATATAGTTTTGCTACTGCTCTTACCGTGCGAATTTCTCCTGATAATTGAACACCAGTTCATACATTTCGCCTTGAACTCTTTTGCCAGTTGCAGGGTTTCTGCTGCCCATTCACGACCATTTCATGCAATGAAATTACCCAAATCGTCCCAAGCATCACTTTTCCCAGCTGCTGATATGGTCTCTAACGCACGTTCAACAACCTCGACGACGTTGTACTACCGCTGCCCGTGATGTTGATGGCGTTGGCTGCGAATCGTCAGACTCCACATTAATTTCAGCCTCACCTGGGGATCCAGATGAGTTCAGCGGCGACGGGCACTTCTACAATATCAACGACACACATATTAGTTAACCACTAATAAATCATGAAATTGTTTACATATTTATGCATATACTCACATTTCCTAAATTTGATGTTGTGCTGGCCTCAATTCGCAACGTCGGTTCGAGAAATTTGAGCGAATTGTAAAGCGGAGTCATTGCAGTCGCTCTTCCTGCTCCTTGCTCAGTTTTGGTGTGTCCTTTTCTGTTGAAGGCCGCCTAATATTAAAGTTTCTTTAGCAATTATTTTTATGAATATCGCAAAGGTACTTACGCGGAAAGAGCAGCGAAGACTGTTCCACTTGGCTGAAACTTCCGATCGCGGCATCTTCAAAATATCCGCTACATCTTGCCATTGAGCCTCTCGCATATTCCTGTCCCTGTATTCAGTGGAAAGAAAATTCCATGTGCCTTCTCTTGCTTCTACTTCTTGCACCAGCCTCTCCGTTTGCTCGTTTGTCCACTTTTCCTTCAGTTTTCGAACCCGCTTCTTCGTTCCAATGTTGCTACCGCTTGGGCTAACGAAGTCTGAGGAATCATTGGAGTCCATTGCTTCACTCATATGTTGACACTGAAAAGAACATTGGAAACAATTAATAAGTAAACTTTTAGAAAAATATTGCAAATTTTACATTTGATATGCAAATTGGCGCAGAAGAAAAACAGCTGTGCACGCGACAAACGAAAACAAATTTCCAACATGCTGGCAAATTCATTTTGGGTGTCAAATGCTGCCACATCAACGGTCAAATTAAATTAAGGCCGTTTTCACGTGCCTGTCATTTTATATGACCGCGCTTGGTCATATATGACAACGAATGTATATGACACCATATGACAACCCGTTTTCATTCAACTGACAACATTTGACGTCAAATATGACATAGTGAAAACCAACCTTAAGTTTTCGAAAACAAATTACAAAGAAATGTCGATTCTCACAAAATAAACCATCTCGTCATAAAGAAATAATTTTAAAAATAGTTCTTGAAAATGGAAATTTTTTTAACCACGTTTTTTATAGAGAATTAAACAAGGATTACAATGGTATAATTTTAAATCCCTAATTTACTGGTCTTTACTATGCAAATCAACTTCAAAAAGTTCAACTGTTAATAGCTGAATTAGCTTTAGGACAATCTTGACCATTTAATATGTATTTATTGTAGTTGTAATTATAGCCCGTTGCTTTAGCTTTAAAACGCAGTTAAGATGAAGTCTCTACGATGAGCAGAACCCGAGATATAACGATTTGGAGAAGCACATGATTAGTCAGAATCACGAAAAAATCCAAACATTGACAGATCATATTTCCGAAGAAAAAAAAGAAAAAAAAGGATTAGTCCAGCGCCTTCGTCTTGACCTGCGGGCTGTGACGGAGCCACAGCCGCTAAATTTAAATGTAGAATGGGTTAGAATTTTTCAAATCACCACAAAAAAAAATGTTGGTCATATAAGTATGTATATGATTTGTATCTCAATCGATAGCTCTCGGCGTCACAAATTAGTCTTCTGAATATTTTAGCAAAAGTAAAATTTTTGCAAAAGTTAAGATCAATTTTTTTTCAAAAATTCATTGTTCTTCGACGGTATAAATAAATTTAACAAAAAATACCACAAATTAAAGATAATTGACTATATTTTAGTATACTTATGTAAAATTTGTAAGAAACGATTTTTCTCCGCCTAGCAGATATTTAAAAAAAAATACAGTAGATGCACTGAAACCTTGGAAAATGAATTCCGGAGAGAAGAGAATGTAGACTATTACCATATAACTGCAAAAAATCAAAAACAGTTTCCACTGGCCACCTTATTTTGAAACTTATTATTTTTTATATTAGGGAATAAAACAACGTGTACGAAAAAGGCTTCTATTGAGCGATATCAAAGACTTGTACACAAAATTTCTTTTTAAAAATCCTGATACAAAAATTAGTTTTGCGTCTTTCACCACTCTTTCACTTTGCGTTGTGGGATGTGGTGGCAGCCATAATGTTTATGTTTGCAAAACCCACCAAAACATAAAGTTAGAAGTTGATGGATTAAATGATGCACTGATACACTTTTACACCGTATTTATTTCGGTGTTAATTTTATACTTTTCACTTCACGATAACGCAGAACGGGAATTGACCCTCCGGATGCAGCGAAACAATTTTCCTCACTGATGTGGTGAAAGGAGCACTATGTTACACAGCAAACAAGTTCTGCTTTCTCCAAAACTGCAATCGTTGTCCGGGTTTCAAGCATAATATTGGTAAGGGGTTGGATACCTTACTTAAGGAGTCACTGGTACTGTACAAGAAATGGACTTGCATGGACAGGTAAGCAGTTTTTATATCCTCCTACCGCTTTAAAAGCAATTGGCATAAAAGAGTCTTTTGTTTGGATGTGAACTTCTAGACAGGGAACAATCCATCACAGAGCTTTGGGCCGAACTCAAGAAGAAGATGCCTTTATATACCAAACACGATTATATCGCCAAAAATTCTAAGTGAATTCTTTTCAAAGATGAAAGAAAATATAAGGCATGGAGAATTTATGGTATCTTTAGACTTTGCTGAGAACTATAGTTTCAAAATACAGGATGCAGTCCAATCTTTTCACTGGTCCAATGATCAGGCGACCTTGCACCCTTACGTAATATACTATAAGCTTGCGGACCAAACTATGAGCGAATGCTTTGTAATTATATCAGAATACAGCAAACACGATGCAACTGCAGTCCATTTGTTTAACAAAAAAATTTTTACATACTTAAAGCAACATTTTGGGGACGAAAGTGTAGAAAAGCTTATACTCTTTTTCGATGGTTGCGCGGCGCAATACAAAAACGAATTTCGAATTTTGCGAACTTGCTTCATCACAGAACTGATTTCGGTGTTAGAAGTGAGTGGCATTTTTTTGCAACGTCATATGGTAAAGGTGCATGCGATGGTGTGGGAGGAACAGTAAAACAATTGGAGTCTCGTGCCAGCTTGCAACGCCCAAACTACGGCCAAATAACAACGCCTCGAAAGTTATTCGAATGGGCGGGAGTATATTTAGACCAGAGGTTCCCAAACTTTTTTTTCTCGTAGACCCCTTTCAAAAATGTACTGGTTTCGGTGGACCCCCTGCTGATACATTTCTAAATGTTCCCAAAGCTCGTAAAAAAATTAAATGTGAAAATTAGATCTAACAATGTAAATTTACATCGCGGGTGTATTCAAAAACTAAACTCAGAGTGGCCAAAATAACAGTAAAATATTTTCTTGTGTTCTGTTTATAAAAATAATGTGATTACACACTTGTAGGTTTTAAAAAATAGAGCTCGTAAATACATCAAAATACTCGCTCGGAAGAGTTATATTTTTTAAGAGCATTGCGAGCGCTATCGTTATTTACATTATCTTCGCCATAAACTCATCAGATGTTGGGCTCACTCATGACTGTGCACGTGGGGTATATGTAAAATAGTTTATTTGTGTTAATGGCATCATTTTTATTTTTATCGCTCAGAGTTTTTAAGTGAGGCGAAAAATATTTTTCAAACTTTTAAAACAAAACTTAAAACATCAAAACGGCTAAGCTTTTTACGCCGAACTTTTAATTCAGAAACTGACAATAGAGAAAAGACCGAGTTTAAAAAAATCGATGACAAATAACCAAGCAAGTAAGAAGCACAAAAAGTGTTCCACCGTCTCATCTTCTTCAAGGCAAGATGGGCAAATGGACTTGTCAATTACGCCTATCACAGTCAGGTGTTTGTGCCACGTGAAGTGACCAGTCAGCAGTCCAGCAAGTTGTCTGCAGTGTCGTCGTGAGAGCAAAAAATTAGATAGACCTTGTGAGATTGAAGGCAACATGAGTTTTACCCACCTGCATCCCCTCGATGCCTCTCAGTCATTTCTGAGCGAAGTATTCACCCAGTTTCTGATGGTGGCTTCGATTGCTAAAACTGTTTGCGGATCAAGGAATGCTAGTTCTAAGCCAACTCTGTCCAATTGATTGGATATCTCATTACCTGGTACTCCTAAGTGACCTTGCACCCAGAGTAAAGTAAGCGCGTTCTGTTTACTACCATAATTTAGTCGAGACCTGCATTGCCGTACTAGTTTGGAAGTAGTTAGAGGGCCGGCCAATGCCTTAAGTGCAGCCTGGTTGTCACAGCAAACACGTAAACTACTTCCCCTCCACCCATGTCCCACCACGTAGTCCATGGCTTTTAGGATTGCAATTACCTCAGCCTGGAAGACCTAAGCATATTCCCCAACAGAAAAGTGAAGCTTATCCCCACTAACTTCGAAAAAGACCCGAGATCATGACCCGGAGTCAGTTTTGGAGCCATCAGTGAAGATTCGACAATGTGGGAGTCCGGTCTCAGCGATGGAATCAAACCAGAATTCAGTCTCAGGGAACTCAACATTATAGAATCTTTTCAACAAAGGTAATGGTGGCGTACTATCCTGTAGCATTGAAAAGACACAAGTGCTTAAATCTCTGCCGCCAGCAATTTTCGCCGCGCCCCACTCATTGTCATACCAGTATCCGCTTCTTTTTAGTCTGCACGTTGCCTTTAAGGCTTCCCCACGTATGAAAACACAAAGTGACGGTAAGTGCAGCAGTACGTCGAGAGCACTATACACCACTCAAAAAAATTAAAGTTAAATAAAGAGGCTATCAAGCAACGATTTTAGTTCTACATCGAAACCAGATAAATTTTCGTGGACCACCATTTACAACTCATGGACCCCCAAATTTTTTTCACGTCACCGTGGACCCCGTCGAGTCTTTCGTAGACCCCTGGGGGTCCACCTGGACCACTTTGGGAATCACTGATTTAGACAATACTGCAAGAGCATAAAGTGGAGGAGACACATTTGAACGCTCGTTTCAAACAAGCAATCGCAATAGCAGGCATTCGATCGTACCATTCCTTTATACCAATCGATGCAAAAACTTTAGAATGTAGAGAAATTTCTGGATCTACTGTTTGTGATGTGCATAAAATTTTATAAACAAATAACCCGATAATTAAATATTTAAATAAAATAAAATATCAATGCTTACAAATCAACTTTAAGAATGCGCATTTTTAGAAATAAGGATTTATGTATTAGTCTGTGCTTTAACGGATTTGCTCAACAGAAAATGCATCAGATGTATGCGTACCAGTGCAGTATCTTTGTAATTCCAGCTTTTCACGCTTTGTAGCGATCTATAGATAGCATTTTCCGTTTTATTTGACTTTAGGGCTATTTGAATCTGCATGGTTTCTTTGAGCTCATATACATATGTAGGTACTTAAGGTAAAACCAAATTGTGAAAATTTCATGCGTACGAGTGTTTTATTTTTATCATTCCACCTAAACCGCAATAGTCTCCATTTTTTCTCTTCGGAATTCACTTTGCAAGGTTTCAATGTCCCTACCGTATTTGTTTTAAATTTCTGCTAGGCGGAGAACATTGCTAAAAACTAATTGTCCTTTGAAAGGATGCATCGAAAAACGATAAAAAACTTTTCTTATAATTTTACATAAGTATACTAAAATATAGTCAATTATCTTTCATTTGTGGTATTTTTTGTTCAGTTTATTTATACCGTGTATTTTATATATCAAATTAGAGAGCCAGATCTGAAACTTTGCACAAACATTTCAGATTTAAGAATTGTTTGATA